TATCCTGTAGGGCAGCACAATAGGTAATATAAATTATGAATTATGTTTATTTCAACCAAATGTATAAGAGTCCTTGAAAGCCTGAGTCACTTGGAGATACTGAGAGATTATGCAGTCCTTGCAAATCCATTTTTTAATTAACACACATAATCCATAATGCTTTATTTCTTCAATTGCTTCTTTATCTAGTTTATTATTTGCATGTTAATTAGCTTTAAAAATTAATAGACACTTTTTATGTCAATTTGAATTGAATAAATTGTTGGTATTGACCATGTAGCCTGTTTAAAATCTCTCTGCTCTTTTGTACAGTATAGCATACAAAGTACTGTAACTGTGTATTCTCTTATTAATTGGGTATGGAGTCTTAATCAAACTTGGCACTAGTTCTTGAAGACAGAACTTTCATGCTCCAGTTTGGTGGCACATGTGTCAGTAGGAATGCACCCCACCACACACACACCCCAGAAGACTCTGCTGCCTGCAGCTGCCTGAGTTCCAGCTTTATTATGTGAACTAGATTCCATAGGAGGCAGACTTCCTCTTGACACGGATGTGTTTGTATTCTGCCATGAACAGAAGCCAAGAGAACTCTTTCTGAAATATTAGATTGAGAACCTTTATTTTGAAAATGTAACACTGTAATGTAGCAACAGACACCCCTCTAATGTTTCTTTAAAATATCTTTGGCAAACCTTCTTGAGCCGGTCAAAATATTTTCAGCTTATAGCATTTCAGCAATTGTTTTGGAAGCATCTTCTAGCTTGAGCACTGGTGTGTTAGAGATTGAAATTCACAGTGCAAGGAGGCTGGGAAAAATTCCTGCTTTCTGGTGCTGCAAGTGCAGAGTACATCTGTTCTACTTGTTGGCACAGAGAAGGTCAAACGGCTGGAGACTCTTGAGAGGCTAAGGGGTCCCATTGGTTCCATGATAGGATTCCTGTTGGTCCTTGAGAGACCTCCTGCCACTAGGATAGTCTTGCTGCCATTCTGAGTTCCTTTGCTGTGGTTCTAGAGCTTTATCCAGATGCTTGCTACAGGTGCTGTTTTTACCTGGGTGGTGGTGGGGGGGGGAGATTGACATCCACATGTGTGAATATTTAAGAAATTTAAGAATTTATAGGATATCTATTCAAATGACATTTTTTAGACAGTAAGGTTTCCAAATGCAAAACAGAAATGATTTCCTCAGTTCAGGAGACTGAGATACATCGGACTCTGAGTGTGCTAAAATAAAAGCAATAGTCAAGCTTGGTTTTCTCAATGATGAGATTCTGAGTTATTGAGGCAATTTTCTTCTCATTATTTTGAAGTAGAGGTAGCATCTTTTTGAGTTGCGTGAATAATGCTAATATTCCCTCAAGATTTTGTAATTGAAAGAGTTTTTATTTGAAACTGAGCACAGTAAGGATACATGTGAATCTGCTATCCCAATCAAATTTTGAATAACATTTTAAAGTTACAACCTTTGTGTCTCTGTCTATGCATATTATGCATATGTTAAGTGAAAACCAAAACAACAACAACAAAAAAAAAAAACCAAAAAACAAACAACAACAACAACAACAAAAAACCACATTGGTCCCATCTGAAAAAAAAAATGATACAGATTTACCATCCATTAAAAAAAAAGTAATATGTAGTGAAACTAATTATCTTAGTCACAAATCCAAATGACTTTGTCGATTGAGCAAAGTGTGTTAGCAATTTCTGGCAACTATAATTGTGATAACAGCCCCGCCAAGGATATTACTATTGCTCTTTAATTGCCTCAAGTAACAGTACATACTCCAGTGATGGGTCGTCTCATTTATCATGTTCCTTTGTGGATTACTTGCCTCACAGTGTTCAGCCTCCTTGGAACTCTTTCCAGTCAAGCCTCAGCTACTGGCTGATGGTTTTCCCCACACTGTTCTGATTAACACTTTTAAAGTCAGCTCTTCGGATGCTTCTCTTACTTCCTGCTAGAGCCTGAGCTGCCCTGGGGGTACTGCTTTAGCTGTTGAGGGCTGTAAATCAGCCACTTGAGAGGCCCAGAGTTCTCCACTGGATGCCCCCTGACATGTGTGATCCTGAATCTCTGTGACTTAACCCTTGCTTAGCATGGCCCTAGATTATACTAGATTTGGATTATTATTTATGTAAAACATTCTAGTGATTTGCTTGGGGTGGGGGAGACCTATTCAGTAAGTTTGCTTTTAAAAAAATATCTCAAGTTGTGTTTTGTGAGGGTTCATCATATTTGTAACTACTCGTTTAGGGTATATTTTAGGAAGAATTTTTAAAAAGTTAACTTTCATGGTTTATTATTAATAATATTCACTACAATAAATGAGAATAACCTAGAAAAGTATCTACTATGAATGAATGAAAATGCTTCCACTCCTCAGTAAATGACTCAGAAGCAGTGTAAGGACATTCTGAAATATCTCTTCTGGCAATTAGTCTGTGGCAAACTCGTTTTCACCTAGGGCCCTTGTTCAGGAGGAGGTTTCTGAGATTCTCTGGTGGGCTCTGCTGTCTTTCTGCCTGCACTCTAAGAAGCGGACCCTGCCACACCCTCAGAATCCTCTTGGATAACATCCCTATTTGGGTCACGTGGCTCTGTTCTGATGATCAGCCTCCAGACTATCTCCTTAGGTGTATTGTAGGTTTGCACTGGTGAATAGACTGTGATGTCGTATGGAGAGGACATATTGCAGGCATGATTTGTAAGGCTTGTATTGTGTGATCTGTGACTTTGGGCAGTTACCAAATTTGTACTATTTTATGCTTGTTTCTCTGGGAAACCTCTCTACCAACCACATCTCTTCTTTTTCATGTTCCCCATCCTCTGCACACACACACATACCCATACACACCTGCTACATAGACCTGAAATATATACCATCCTTTAAAATGATGGTAGTTCTCTGGTGCTACTTTTCAATGCCTAGATAGAAGTCAGCTTCTTAAAATTTCACTGTCATTTACTCCTAGTTGTTCTCCCTAACATGAAGTCCATAAAACAATTTATATTTGTATATGATGATATAAATGTGCATGCTATGCTAAATAATTTGTCTGGCATAATACAGAAGTGCCACATTTTAAAGATGAACAGGAAAAGTTTGTAGAACAACCATAAGAATCAGAAAATCTCAGCAACTGTGCTAAATTGGTTCTTTTTGAAGACTAATTTTCTGATTTTAAAGAATCTTACATTTTAACTTTTCATATAATACATGTAAGAGATGTAATATATTCTTGGGTTCTAGAGATGCACATTCATATTTCTGAGTTTGTATGAGTTCTAAACCTTAGAAAGGCCAAAAACTTAATGTGGAGAGAGATGAGTAGGGACAAGGAGAGCGGAAGGAAGAAGAGAGAAAAAGAGGGACCGAGAAGAATTGCACAAATCAAAATTTTATTTAGTTCATGGATCTTCTAGACCTATATTTACATGTCACTGGAGAACCTGGTTTTGGAGGTTCTTGACTAAAATCTTTGTTTAGTGCTGATTTCAGAAGAAGCTCTTCCAAACTGGTATCTGTACAGGTATCAGTTACCAGGTGCCTATTGGTCCTGATTGTGCCTTGGAAGCAGAGGTGCATACTGTAGAGTGCCATGGTACCCAAGTTATCCCAGCAAATCTAGATGTATATGTGAGGTTAAATTTCCAGAGGGAAAAGCCGAATGGCTTTGTAGGAAGTGCGTGAACTTTGCTATCAGATTTGGTGTTAAGTTCTGGCTTTTCCATCTATAGACTGTGTGAACCTTTAGCTTAACTCTCTGAGCCTCAGTTTTTCTGTTTGCCAAATGTAGAGCAGTTATAAGGAATAAATGAAACAACATATATCCCAAAGTGCCTCATACTTAGTAAGAATTAATAAAAGTTATTGTTTTTCTCTTTCTCCACCACTGAAGAGTATAGCAGTGAATTGGATAACATCCTCAGCAACTTAGTTTTGCTCTTCTTCCTGGTTTGACTAGATAAAATCTGTTCCATCACATTTTTAATCAAAACTCTTGTATTTTATCTGGTCTATCCCCAGTGAGTTAGTTAGAGAAGAAATTCCTAGAGAAATTCTAATCCTAGAGAGAGGCTGAGAGAGAGAGAGAGAGTGTGTACCCAGGCATATTACCCAATGATATACAGCTAATACAATGAAACTGCACATCATTTATTTTTTTTATAGATTCCCCAACTTAGAGTGAACTTATTCTTTAATCTCCTCTGACATAAAACTCAATTAGGGATTAAGAAGGTGATGGGTAATCAATATTTTTATTCAAAAGTGATTTTTCTTTAGCTAGAAGCTATACAGCTACACTGCTCTGAAATCTTTATCAGCTTAGACAACAAGAGAGTGACATTCAACACGTATTAAATCGCCTAGAGGTCACATAATCTACTGTGGGTGGTGTTCTGTTGTACTGTAATGATCCAGAGACCTTGCAGACTCCTAAAATGCCCTAACGTTTGATTGTGTAAAGTAAAAGAGAGCTGTTCATCAAAAAAATCACTCAAGATATTATTGAAACAATGAGATTCAAAGATACAGGGAGTTCTAAAACTAAACTTTCTACCTTGTATTCTCTCTCTCTCTCTCCATGTCATGTTTGAATCAGTATCTTAGTAACACCTGTGCTGAAAGACCTCCCTCTAGTAGCCTGTTGATTGGGACGCTGTGAGATGTGATACTCCTGTGACTTCTTTTTCCTCAGTTAAATTCTAGAACATGCTACAACCTTGGCATCATTTTGGAATTATACATAACAAATTGTAATACCAAAATTTTAGAACAATAGTGTAGAGTAAAAATATTAAGATACCATTTAATTGGGGAAGCCACAAAGCAAAGTTTGTTAGTAGTTAGTTATTATCTTTGATAGATTACATATTATAATATACGTATTCGAAGCTTCTATATTTAGGTTTTCAGGGCTAATTTAAGTTTTAGTAGTGAAACATATTTATATAACAATCTTATAATTGTTTCTCTTCTTATCAATTTCAGGGTCAGCCTGGTCCTCAGGTAAGTGATCTCTTTTCTAATAAATTGGCACCCAACTTAGGATTTTCCTCAAGTTTTTCTTCAGTTCTTTTTCAAAGAATATAAGAAAGCTATGAGATGGTAATCATGACACCACATTGTTGACCAAATATTTCCCAGGAGTAAAACCCTGGGGCCTCTGTAGGGTTGTGTGAGCCACATCAGCTGTTAGGCCAGATGGCAAATTGAGCTGAGTGTCATCATATAAAGCAAAACTCCTCACTGACCTCGACCAGGCCCACACGACTGTCATGGAAGGCAGAATGACTTAGTTAAGGTTGGGTGTGAACTGATTTGAATTAGGTACTGGTTAATTATGTACTAATAATGTTGTAGATCCACACAGTCTCTGATAATTTAAACTGAAGTTCTGCTAGCTTCTCTCAATTCAATATAGACAGATACTGATTTTGTTGTACATTTTCAGTGTAGACTAACTGCAGCTGACATGAGTTGTAATTGAGCATGAATACAGTCAACCGAAAATTTTTGAGCCTTAAATCATATTGAAGAAAATGACAAAATTTTAGGGTAGGGAAGAATTTGTATAAAGCTGAAAACAAAAGAAAGGGATATCTAGAAATAGTCAATGCAACAAACTCAAACTCAACAAACCCAGTGTCTGTGCTAATGATAATCTGTAGGGTACTCTTGGGAAGGAAGTACAATTAGTAATGCTTTACCTAGAACACCGTAATACCTGTAAGCAATGAGATTATTTATTGAGTGCCATTCTCTCTTTTTCCTTGATCTTCTGAATTCTACTTTGGTCCTAGATTTTTTTATGAATAAGTCATTTCATGATATCTTTGCAGTCAATATTATGAATTACCTATCGTGTGATAATCCTCACAGTAGACCACAAGAATATTTTTTCATAGTTTTTGTGAGCTCTGTGTATAAGAATAATAATCCAAAAAACCCTCACTGCTTCAGACAGTTCTTTTCATACTAAGCTCAGGAGAAAAAAAAATTCATCTTTAACTAGTTTATGTTGCTATCAAAGAATATTCTTGTTATTTTTAATGTTCACTCTTACATTCCAGGTGAGCTCAAGGTAGTTATTAGAGGAGGAAAAAACCCACAGAAGGGAATTATGGTTTGTTTCTAAATTTGAGCTAAATTATAATGGGATAAAGACAAAGTATAAGGAGCTTAGCATGCCTTATTTTAATGAATGCTTACAGTAGCCCTGGACAGGTTATACTAGAAGGTAGTTTTATATGTACATATATAAATATAAACATATTTGTGTATTTATATATGCCTATATAAATATGTAAAATATACTTATGCATAGATTATATAAATTCATAAGAGATAAACTACTTGCCTGGGTGATACCATAGAGCTGGAAGCAGAGGTCATTCTGACTCCAAACCCTCATATTCTAACACTCAGCCTTTGAGGGAAAAGAAGATGAAACAGCAGGTGGTAAAGTTGGAGTTTTAGTTTTGAAAAGATTGTAATCTTTAACACATTTGAAGTTTATATAGAACGTCTGTTTTAGCCAGCCATCTCCAACCATGTCCAAGTAATTCTTAAGAATTTGGGCATAAGTAATTCAAGATAGGATCCCAGGAGACATTGTAGGGGAAAATGACTCTGGGAAAACAGAATAACCAAAAAAGCTGATACACTAATGAAGAGGTAATTGCTGTGAATAGCTGAGGCTCAATCCAGCTGAAAAACCTGTGAGAGACAATGTAGAACATGCCTCAGAAACATCCCGCTGAGGGGCAAGGAAGTTAATGTATTTATCCACTAATTTCCCTTTCTTCTTTCTTGAAAGTTCCGTCCAGATTCTAATTCTGTGGTACTTCTGGCCTGCACCAGAAGGTCTGCATACTCCAGCTGCTAGAGAAATATGGGAAGCTGTAGGGACATACAGAATGGGTATTCCAGCACTGTCTTTGAGCACGGTTGTGGTGTGGGTGGGCAACTACATCCATTCCCACAACCAAGTGCAAGCATCTTATATAAAACAGGATGGAAAATTTACATATGAAATATAGAGACTTGGATATTGGACACAAAGACAGGATTAAAAGTATATTATTTAAGGCAGTGCTAATGAAAATAATTACAAATAGCAAAGTACAGTCATAATAGGTCTTGAGTATTAGCCATAGTTGATGAATAGAAGAAAGAGAGTAAGCCAGATGACGAGCCAACAATGGACAGAACCAGGAGCATCGTGGATCATTATAGCTAAGACTTGAACATGTATCATGGTACTTCAGAGGACCTTGATACCAGGTCTTATATTTACTGTGAAAAAACACAAAGTCTACCTAATTTTCATGTGTATTTGACAATTCTGGAAATTTAGAGTGAAGATGGAACTGGAATTGTCAAATGGCGCCCTGCTCTTGTTTTTCCTTTGTTTTGGCCTGTAGGGGCCAAGACAATCACATGAGAATTTAATTCAAAACATCTTCCTCAGATCACAGCAAGAGGAGTGCAATGAATTTAGGGAGAATATGTGTGAGAGGGAAGTGGGAAACCAACTCATATGCTCACATTGTATTTCTGGAGCACAAAAAAAAAGTCTAGCCTACCTCTAAGTCTCCATTATTATCATAATAGTTTTTCAAAGAAACTTCCATTTTGGGGACTTAAATAGTTCTTAGTGAAGTTCTCCATTAAGTACATGATCATTAGCTATGTTTTGAGGATCTTTATAAATTATAGGTGAATTTTATATAGAGGCTCCTGTCCATCTCTATATTTAATTTTCACCACTACCTGTTTTAATGTGTGAATTTCCCAGGCTCTAATCTATTCTTGGGAAATTTATTTTGCAAAGAAAGTAGACTCTCAACAGGATTTTAACTCAAGAAATAAAATTTATCTATCAAAAATCTGAACATTTAGAAATGACTCCTGTAATAGATGTGATTATCAATTTATGCAGCAGTTATTACATTTTGTACAATTATATCTTACATTCATACTTTAGAATGCATCTACTTTTTTCTTGAGTAAATTCATGTAAACTATACATTAAATCTGTTTAACACAGGTTCATAAGGTGCATTCAGTGAATAAGCAAGCAATATACACTTAAAACCCAAAGTTGGGAAATTTTATGGATTTTTAAATGGTTAAAAGGTTTATTTTATGTGATCAAATTTATCTTAAAATTTTCTTTTTCTGTTATTTAGCCGCTGCAAACGATTAGTCACATAGAATGTATTTCTAGTACCAGGAACTTGTAATTTGGGGTATGTCTTCCTCTTTTTTTTTTAATTTTTAGTGACTTAAAACAATCTCTTCTTTTTCCTTAAAATATCAATGTTTTTAGTTTCCCTCACTTTCCTCTTTTTGTATGGGTGTAAAATTCAATATAATTTACCTACACTTCCTCCCTCTGATCCTCTTCCTTCTTAACCTTTGCACATGCTATTAACTATGGGAAAGGGAAGGGCATGAACATTGAAAAACTTCCTTCTTACCTTTTCTCCCATCTCCTTCTGCAACTACTTTAGGGAGGTGGAAAAAAAGAAGAGAGTTTGCCATGTAAATAAGTTGTCCCTTATTTCCAAGTTTCCTTCCCCTCCCTGAGTCATAGCCATACCACCTGTGGCCTCTGTTATCTAGCCTGCCTGCTCCTTTGAATATCCACTCCTGTTGAGCAGTATTCTGAATGATACATTTCTAAATGTCAAATTCCAATTTTTGATGGATTTTTCATTAAGATACAAGTACCAATTAATGGTTTGTTTCTACAATAAGAATATTTGGAGGGATTAGGAATAACCTGTAGATTATTATAATAATTATATCATAATCCCCATAGGAAGACGAAATAAGATTTCCAGTTAACTTCCAAAGAAAATCAGAAATGTTTGAATTGGGACTTTTGAACACTTTTAACTTTTAAAAAAGATTTGATCAGAATTGTAACTAGGCACTTGTTATTCTTGTGCAAAAGTTTACGTCAATGATTTTTTTGCATAGTTTTAAACCATTTCACATCATCTTATTCACAATATTAAAAGGTGTAGAACTCTTCCTTAGTACATTTTTCCATATCACATGTTCTTTCATAAGAGCTTCCAGATGAATAAGGTTGTATTTTGAAGACTGTTGGTTATGAGGGAGTTATTCAGTGAGTCGTTCTGATCATCTTCCTAAGTTGAACACAGTTTAGATGGACTTAAGGATAAGACATCGTGAAGAAGACTGAGAAGTAAATGGCAGTGGACCCTATTAAAGTTGTAGTATAAAGCTGATAGGAAAGGAGAGCTTAGGGAAGACAGGTGAGTGTTAGCATTTACCTGGTGGGGGGAGTGGGGAGAAGGTTCCTGACATGGGAAACGAAATAATGAAAAGATATTAGAAAGAAAGAAGAAAAGCAATTCTAGCATCTAGGGTTAAGGTTAAAAAATAAAGAGGCAGAACATGAATGGAGGGGATGTTTCTGTGACTCGACTGAATCAAGGGACATTAAATTTTTGGAGAGGGAAGACGACACACTAGAGTAAATAATGTCACAGTGACTTGAAAAACATGAGTGAAAAGAGGGAAAAATAAGTGACAAACTAGAGACAATGAGAAATAATCTATTGAAATGAAAGTAACCCTGATATTTGTTCAGTAACTCATATTAACATAATTAAATTCAATCACTCAACAAGTATTTATTTAACCCCTACTAAGGCACAGGAAGACTGAAATTATGGTGAATAAAACAGATTCAGCTTCTGTTCTTACAATGAATCTGTTTTATTTTTATTTTGAAAAATTATATATTTTAATTTAAATATTTAATTGAATGTATTGAAGGTGGACAGTGATGACTTCAAATACATTTACACCATATGATGGTTACAACAAAAGAATTATCATCCACCTTTACCCATGCTAGACAATGTTACCTCCTCACAAGTGGTTCATCTACTCACCGAAGGTTTGTAACTTTTTGCCAAAATCTCCCCATTTCTCCCACCCATAGTCCCTACTCTATGTTTCTACGA